TTTTTTTCCATTTCTATTTATTATTAAACTCTTGAACCTGATATCAATCCCTCAACTCTCTAATGTTTTATTTATTTTCCTCAGCAGTCAATTAATAATTAACTTTTTTTTTTTTTCCTTCTCACCTACAATAATCCTATGAGTGAGTCGTTTATTGATCGTATGCTCCTCGCTCTATGAGTCTATGACCTTGTTAGAGCCTATTGGTTTTGATCCATTGATAGTAACATAATTAATATATTGAAATTATCTGATAGAGAGAGGGCAAGTAGGCTGATTTAACTAGTTAGAGCGAGGGTCAGCGTGATTTCGGTTCCCACATGGGTAAGTTAATATTTATTTCTAGGCGATCCTGAAGTAAATATCTTGATTGATCCGGGAAAGTAGTAGCCTCTTGTATCCTTTAGAATTGGGCAAAAAAGCACTAAAAGTCCACTTATCTTACACTCTACAAGCCCAGTACCAGTATCAGTAATACATAAATATATATAAATTACTGATAAGGATCTTGATGTTCAAACATTACTGTCAGAACGCAGTGCCTTGTCTCCCTCAAAAAGTGGTCTCCTTTACTCGACAACTTGGGCAAAGGAAATCGATGTTCTTACCATCTTCAACGAGCATCAGGAATACACCCGAAGAAAATGATGCTTGGATGTATCCAGAATATCACATGAGCATGGACAGCTAAATCCCATGTCAACATTATATATCTTGCTTTAAAAGGCCTTTACCCCTATCATGACAAACATAAAGGTGAAATGAAGTATAAAGGGAGTCTTCTTTAAAGAGCAAAACAATGATATCCTGATTGAAACAACTGATATTCCACCGATCTATTTTGCATTCGGTTGTATAGATTTAAAATCGATAATCTTGCCTCGATCCATCGATTGCAGCAATAAGGGTATCGCATCTACAACCTGCTATAAAACTGACGGTTTTCCCAACATGCAAGAGGTTGATGTTATTCTTAAGAGCCGTCTTAGATTTAACTTAACTGTTTCTACTACCGAATATTTAATCACAGGAACCAACTCAGAAGGGAGCGTCATTAATTTTTTAAGAGGACTTGAACTAAAAGCAATAATTTCATAAGAGAATCGTGATTTTGAAATGGCGTTCAGATATATTTGTGCTTAGTATAAATTAGTAATAAACCCAACAGAAATGAATGAACTCTATTTCTAAATCAAATTTTAACTTATATAGTTGAAGAGCAAAGTGGTATAGGTGATCAGTCAAAAAAGGAAATTAAAAATAAATAAGCAATTTATTTTTATTTTTGTCGACGTTTCGGCCGAAAGTTCAGGCTTTCATCAGAGCTGACCGAATGAAAGGATTCCGCAAGACCTTTTTCTTTGGGTCTTTTCCTCCTTGTTTCTTCGAGTCCTTGCGATACCCTAATTCTTGCGGAATCCTTTCGTTTGATCAGCCCTGATGAAGGCCTGAACTTTAGGCCAGAACGTCGACAAAAATAAAAATAAATTACTTATTTATTTTTTTTGGCTGGTCACCCCAACCATTCTTCTCTTCAATTATTCACTACAGTCAACCATCAATCCACAGTTAACTTATATATCATGCATAAGTTGCAAGATCAGAAACTAAAGTATTTAGGAAATATAGAAGTACGAAATTATAACATCCTATCAGAGGTAATAGTTTATGATTTAGCGTTCGCATTGCCTGCTTTACGGAGAATGGAGATTTTGCCGTGTTTTCATACGATTTCTGTATCACATTATCGACTGTTTAGAGTCAATGAGAGAGTTATCCTGAGTTTATCGGAAATAAAATAATTATCCCAGAAGATAGGACTTTAGGAAAATATAATATGAATCATTTAAATAAAACGAAAAGAAATGTCATAAATATGTCTAACATTTAAATTCTGTATAACTTTATTTATCTTGGACCTATCTGCCGCAAATCTAGTCGAACATCTGAAACCACGATCAGGAATGAAACTATCAAGATCAAGACTTCAAGGTAGAGGCAGAGAAAGAGGAAATTTATAAGAAAAGCATAATTTACTTAAAAGAAAAATATAGAGGAGAATTCTCAGTTAAATAGCTTTTAGTGATTTTGAAGTAGAGGAACCATCCCTCTTAAAAAAGAACTATATTTTTTGCAGAAGCAGACCGTAGCAGAAACTATTATTTTAGACTCATTGGTTTCTTTCATCACTACATTTATTAATCTGTGCCTTCGCTTAATCGTTTCTGCTCACTGTTTTGAACACATTTGTTATATATTATAGCAGTCCCACGTAACTCCCCTGTTTTGGTTTTAAATATATGTTAATTAGTATGCTGTATGATCTTGCTTTTCTGGCGTAATTTTTTTTATTTACATTTATATATACCTTACTTTTCGGAGATTTCCTTACTCACCATATAATGCAATATCTAATTCGAGTTTGGCAAATAAAGTTACGTAACTTCTCTCCTAGACAGTAGCAAGCCAAAACACTCAAATTGTGGGATAGAAAAAAAGCAAAGGTGAAAGTCTAATTCGATAAGCCGAGCCCATCGTTGAATAACGTTGTTATCTGCACATTCTCAGACTTGTTTTTGTCATTATCCTCTAATCCCATTGGTCGGTGCCCCCTCCCTCCCACAAGGACTGGCCTTCGGTTCACGGCCTTTGTAATCAGGCTATCACTTCAGTTAATTTGTAATCTGTTTGTTGATACATTCGGTCCGACTATAATCTTATCTTATCTGTTTCGTATTGCTACATTTAGCGTTATAATGAAATCTTATATTATTTTAGTCTTTTTGTGTTGCATGCATCCCTTCCATCTGGTAGCGTAGCTAGAAATTTATTCAGTCCCATTTTACCATTAATGACTACCACATGCGGAAGCATCCAAAGGCACTTTCTGCAACCCCCTCTTCAGAGATGCCCCCCCCCCTCCCTCACCCTTTCCAAGATATTTTATTGTTCATTTTTTTTTTTTTAACGGTGCAAGGGAATGTAAGATTTAAAAAAATACAGATCAAATACAATTACATTTGCTGTGGCATTTTTCTTGTTCTTTGGTTTAAAATTTTTTAGTCCGAAAATTCATAGCCACTTCGAAATGTTTCCCCTCAAAAATGTCGCCATGAATCCACCTTCTGGGCACCCTTGCCCTTCCCCGTCCAATATTTCACGAAGGGGGTCAGACTCTAATATTTCGCATTCATTTCCTCACAAATAACTAATAAAAAGTCCAATAAAACTTATTGATATTAATTATAGTATATTGCATTTTTATTTAAACCCTATCCTGCCGGTAAGGCAATACGGATGTTATGCAACATAGAGTAGCAACATGCATTCAGACCAATTACATTTTTTTTTTTTTCAGTTGTGCACACAGCCACTAGACATCTTCTACGCTCTCTGGCGGCCTTCCAGATGAAGGTACATCTATTCTTTCCAATGAAATGTGGTTTGGACCAACGAGTTTCTTCCACCCGTATATGAAGGCCTTGTAGTTAGGGTAATTCACTTTAGTCATTAGTTGAGGGAGATCGCTCTCCGCCAGAACATAAAGTCCCGTCTCCCTCAACAACTTGGCCCTCGGTGCATCAAAGTCGGTACATACAAGCACGACATGCTAGGCGGTTTCCGGTACTCTGCAACTTGGGTATTGGGGATCAACGTTCTTATTATATTCTACGAGCTTTCCTCGGAAACTCCCATGCCCGGTGAGGAACTGTGAGACCCAGTAGTCCGGGAGAACCCACGTCTGTTCTAATCTTGAACTAATGGTGGAGAAGTATTTTCTTAGCGTAGCCCCTTTTGGCGACGTCACCCACTGCTGGTTCCATTCTTTTAGCGTGTTCTCCCGAAGAATGCTGTTCCATCTATTAGGGTCTTTACTGATCTTCACACTGAGATTCGCCAGTAGGTCCACCAGGCTTTCCCTCTTCATCTTGCGCCGAAAATAGTTTTCTCGTAGGAGATCTATAGGGGTAGTTCTTGTGATCCGCAGCAGAGACATTCGCTGGATTGTTGCCAACCTTTTCTTCTGTTGGTGCGAAAGATGATGACTCCACGCTGGGGAGGCCCATAATGACTCCTTTATAAATAGTCAATGTGGCTAGGTACCTGAGATCCCAAAAGGCGCCCCCGATGCGATTAAGTCCATTGAGATTAAGTCCTTGGTCGCTGAAATTAGTTTATTACATGCAAAATACCATGGCTAATTGCCTGACAAGTATAAGCAATGAGCCATAGTATATTGCGTGTAATAAACTAATTTCAATGAACTAATTACATAGGCCAAACGGTCCAATATTTTTGTAGGTGTAATATATTCTTATGAGGTGTAACCAAGGATTGCAGCATTCCTGATAAGCCGATTTGGGAAGCATGATATAATCCATTCTTTCTTTTGTTTATGGACCAATTTTAGTACCATTAAACCAATGAGCATGTGCATTTCCTTTAGATTATGTCTATTTAGATTAAGTTGTGATATTCCGAATTGTAGATAATTGTAAATTTGCCCGATATTGCCTAAATACAATATAGAGTATTTTGTTATTTATTATTATTGTTTGGTTTACTTATATTTATATTGTATATCTTTCCTATGGTTAACATTCTTTTTGCCTTTGCTTATTATTTTTTTTTTTTTTTTGTATATATTGTTAATGTTGAATAAATTCTTTCTGTAAATAGAGTACTTACTTGAAACCCATCCTTTTCTTAGCTGCTTTATTAATTAACCCGGCCTTATTTATTGTGGCCAAATTGATAGATATGTATTAATTTATTTTCCTAATTTTGACTCTTTGGTTAAATAAGACATAAATGTTAAAACTAGCCAGGCGCCAAACAAATCAAATTTGTTCCACAATAGAAAATTATCATAAATTATTTTTTATATTTAATTTTGATTTTTAATTTGGTCATGGCAATTTTAGTTTTTAAAAAATAAGCAATTTTCACAGCAATTATTGAAGCATAGATCATATGATTAGTCGATTTGTATACGATTCCTTGAGAGTTTTTTGAGAAAACAAAATATTCCTATGGGTAATGTGAACGCAGTGGGTCCGAACGAAGTTTTAATTATTAACGGAGGATGTAGATATCCAAGGAAGAAGATAATAGCCGGAGGAGGTTGGGTTTGGACCTGGTACGTTGGTAACAAAGTACAAAAGATGTCATTGGCTTTGATGACACTCACACCTACTTGTGAAAAAAGTGAGACCTTTCAAGGAGTTCCCTTAGTAGTTTCTGGTGTTGCGCAGTGTAAAATATCCAGCGAAACGGAACTGCTTAAATTAGCGGCTGAACAGTTTCTTGACAGGAGTATGAAGCAGATCGCTACTGCCATCGAGTTGACGCTGGAAGGCCACCTAAGGGCGATCGTAGGCTCGCTCACAGTCGAAGAAATTTATAAAGATCGTGTAAAATTCGCAAACGCTGTCAGAGAAATCGCTGCTTCTGACCTTGCCAAAATGGGAATAGAAATTGTCACCTTTACTATAAGAGATATACAGGATACGGTCAGCTACCTTTCATCCTTGGGCAGGACGCAGATCGCACGGGTGATGCGAGATGCCAATATTGGCGTAGTTGAAGCCGAGAGGGATGCGAAAATGAAGGAATCGCAATGTGAGAGGATCGCCATGGCTGCCAAATATGATTCTCAAACTAAAATTGCCAACAATTTTAGAATTTATGAACTTCGAACACTGACTTATAACATCGAAGTGAATACAGCACAAGCCATAGCTAATCTCGCTTACAAACTTCAAGCGGCTAAAATTCAACAAAGAATAACAAAAGAAGAAATTGAAATAGATGTGATTAGCAAACGAAAAGAAGTAGAGATATCTAATTATGAAATAAAAAGAAAAGAGATGGAATTAAATGCAGAGGTCAGGCTGATTACCGACGCTGAGATTTACAGCAGGAAAATGAAAGGGCGAGGAAATAGCTACAAAATCAGACAAACAGCGCTCGGCGAATCTGCTAAAATCACTAATATTGGGTTAGCAGAGGCTTACAAATTGGAAATGATTGAAACAGCAAAGGCAGAAAGGAACAAGATGAGAGCCATTGTACTCCAGGAATATGGAGACGCAGCCGTGACTAAAATGATTCTAGAAGTACTTCCAAAGATCGCAGCCGAGATTTGTGCACCTCTGGCAAAAACCGGTGATATTGTCCTCCTAAACAGCAAAGATCAACATTGGATGTCAAATCGCCATCCTATGCAAAGCCCTCCTTTCTTGAACGGTAATGATATTTCTAGATTCCACAACGGCCCTATTAAATAACATCTTGGACAAAACAAATGGATATTTGATCTCTTTAACCAACGATAATGTTATGTTTGTTACAAAGTAAACTGCATAATTTTATTTATATTTTCAATTTATTTATTTATTTATTTATATTAATTTTAATATATTTTCAAATATATATATTTTCAGAAATTTATATTCGTTTGGCCTTGGAAGGCAATCTACTACAACACCAAGAACCAATATTCAAAGACATCAATTTTTTAAAAACCCGTCGTAGATATGAAGGTATATACTAGCTATAACTACGGTTGGATAGAGGGTGAAATGGTAGTCTTAACGTAGCCAGTTTTATTTTAATTAAATTAATTTCTCTTAAAGAATATTGACTGCTTGGTTAAAGCTATAAGAAATCATCTCACGGTAAGCTTTTTGGATTGATTTGATAATCCACCATTCGCAATCTTTATATATGTTTGTGTGACATATTTGTACGACATGTGTTTTTAATGGTGTTATATGCATTAATTATTTTATTCAGTCGATTGATAAGGAGCCAACAGCCTTATGGCCTATTTTAAAGACGTCAGCACAGGCGGATCTACAGGGGGGGGGGCTTTCAGGCTGAAGCCCCCCCCCCAAAATGGTAAAATGTAACCATGGTTTACAGAAAAAAATATTAAAAACTATCTCTTAAAGTATTCTTGTTCCTGTAATTATATTTAATAGGACTTCAAGAACCACTTAAACATTATTTCATATAGGTAATTAATTTCTTTATTTTTTTCAAATTAATTATCGTTATATGTATATGAAAAAAAAGTCTTTCGGGCTGAAGTCCCCTCCACCCAAAATTAAATCCTGGATCCGCTAGTGGACGTCAGGCATTAGGACTAACTTTATATATTGCTAATTAAGGCCTGGAGAAGAAAAGCTGTGCTAGACTAGCCATAATCCTGATTCGGCGATGAAATAGAACTACTTGATTTCCTGTATACATAAAATACAATGTCGTTGTATAAAAAGAAAAGTGTACAACGTAATATAACAGTTTATATCTAATAGCCAGATGTTTCTGATAACCTCTTTTATAAACTGTTTCCTGCACAATAAGCATTATCATTAGCGCCGCCACTTAGGAAATACTAAGGGGTAGGGGAGGCCAAGGTTAGAACATCACATATATTTAGTAATCCAATTTAGTACCTGTAGTATCATTTCTACTTCCACGGTTAATCGAACTTTTTGAGAATTTCGTTATAGTAAATTTCTATTAAATATGTTGTTACTTGTGCAAACTAATATTACTAAAAAAATTGAAGACTATAAACTTGAAATAAACTGTTTATTTTACAACATACTAAAATGTCTAACTTAAATCAGAATTCATTATGGGTTAACAACACAATACTAAGATTAACATAATAAATGTACTGGTAAGTAACCATAGTAACGGATTCACAACAAAATATTGGGGGTATAGAGAAAATCTATATATACCTCTTCTCAAAATATTTGGGGAGGTGAGTGCTCTGAAAATCCATCGTCTATGCGAATCACTTTAGTTCATTGCATTAAAATATACCCAAATTAAGCTAAAATCTCAATAGGGTTTTATTGAATTGAAGTTATGTTTATGTTAACACCTTCGATTGTATTATTCATATGACTTTTAAGTGTCTCTATACTTTAATTATTTAACATTCTAATACATTTCCATTTGATATGATATATTTTACTATAATGCTAGCATAATTACACATGACTGTACTAAAAATAATCAAACTTTTTACTTTATATGGGTAACCTCTATGTAGTTGGTCCGAATAAAGCTGTAATAGTATCAGGAGGATTCAGGAACAAAAGGAAAAAAAAAATAGTAGTTGGGGGCTGGGCTTGGGCTTGGAGTGGTGTTTCAGATGTCCAAAAACTGTCATTAAACTTGATGACATTAATCCCAAAATGTGAAGGTGTAGAAACATCTTTCGGTGTTCCATTGACAGTTTCCGGAGTGGCTCAATGCAAGTTCATGAACGATCAAAAGCTTCTTGAGATAGCTGCTGAACAATTTCTTGGAAAAGGCGTTAAACAGATTAAGGAGACTATTAGAATGACGTTAGAAGGTCACCTAAGATCCATATTGGGAACTTTGACTGTAGAGGAGATCTATAAAGACAGAGAGAAGTTCGCTTCATTGGTAAGAGAGGTGGCAGCACCGGATGTTGGTAAGATGGGCATCCAAATTTTATCATTTACCATTCGAGATATTTACGACAACGTTCAATATTTACACTCTTTAGGCAAAGCACAAACTGCCGTTGTAAAAAAAGATGCCGATGTAGGCGTAGCAGAATCTGAGCGCGATGCAGGAGTCAAAGAATCGTTATGCAAAAAAATGTCGATGGATGTTCAGTATGAAATGTCCTCAAGGATCGAAAACAACAGAAGGGAATATGAACTTCAGAAATCTGATTTCATGCAGCAAGTTAGTAGGGCACAAGCCGAGGCACGTCTTGCATACGAGTTGCAAGCTACTAAAATTCGCCAACAAATCAGAAATGAAGAGTTACAAATTGACATCGTTGAGAGGCGTAAACAAATCGAAATCGAAGAACAAGAGGTCACGAGGAAAGAGTTGGAACTAAATGGGACGATTAGGTTGCCAGCTGAAGCTGAGAGTTACAGGTTGCAGACAATCGCAGAAGGAAAAAGGACTCACGAGATTGAAACAGCTGTAGCTGAAAAAGAAAGCATTACAAAGAAAGGTTTAGCTGAAGCTGACGTAATCAGTAATGTTGGTAAAGCAGAAGCTAACATGATGCTAATGAAAGCTACTGTATTTAAGTCATATGGGCATGCCGCCATCACATCTCTTATTCTGGATTCTCTTCCAAAACTCACAGCTGAAGTGAGTTCACCTTTAGCTAAAACCGAGGATATTGTGATAGTGGGAGGTAGCGACCAAGTTACAGGTGAGGTGAACCGATTAGTAAGTCAAATTCCAGCTTCACTCAATGCTTTAACTGGCTTCGATTTTCCCAAGTTTTTAGGAATGCCTTCAAAGGAAAAAGGAAATAAGTAAACGTTATTAAGTAACACAATGCACGCTGTCAATCACGCCAACCATTTATTTAAACAGCTCAAGATTTCTAAAAAATACCTACTCGTATATTGACACACAAAAACTTTCTTTTATTGCTACCTCTTGATATAAATTATTTAACTTAACAACTATTTAAAATGTTGGCTAAACATTAAGTCTGCATGAACGCAAACTTCTAGAACCTTAAACATTTACTTTAATCCATTTTATGTTCACATCTTGCATTTTTAAGGACTGATTCTACTCACTGACAATTAAATAAATTCAATAGTATACTGGATAACAATCTAAAAAATTTGATTAAAGGAAATCAATATTCCCATAAGGCACTTTTAGGTTGTAGAAAATACTCTATATTTTATCAGATAAGCAGTGAAAGTCCAAACTTTGAGGTATTTAAGAAACATTTGTATACACATTATTATTATGTATTATTAATGTAACCAACTCACTTTACATAGACAAACGGTTTGAAGTTATTTTCATAGCTTAAAACTCATAAGAGTAAAAGTAGCTTAAAACTCATAAGAGTAAAAGTAGCTTAAAACTCATAAGAGTAAAAGTAGCTTAAAACTCATAACCTAAAGTCACAGTGCATCCCATTCGTAATAAAAATTAGATATGTACATTCTAATGTTGCAGAGATCTTTACTTTAAAATCTAAATAAAAGAAAAATACCCACCAAATATTATATACAACTGTTAATGAATATTTTAGTATTACAATGTGAACAGTTTTCGATTTATATTATAATCATAAAAGCAGAATACATATTTTTATTGGAAGGTGGAATATAATAGAAGGTGATTGAAGTGCATATGTACATATAGATATACAAAGAACTATTGATTGAAGTTTGGTTTTCCAGAAGTCAGTCGTTCTTAATATATCAGTCAATCAGTCTTAACCTTACATGATCAGATTATCAACCATAAGCTGGATTGCCATTCCGACTTACTGTGTAGAGTTCGATTCAAGTGGAAGGTGTAATCGCTACTGCGTCAGTGTCACAGTGGATATTAATTGTGGGATGGGTAAGATTGTATGTATCAGATACTTTGCATCCGATTCTAAAAAGTAGTTGATGCAAGTAGTAGATACCACCCAAAAGTATCTGATACAGATACTCGCATGAATCTTTGTACAGACTTGCCAAATAGATAGAAGAGAAACGATATTTGTTTAGCTATATCTGGAACATAATTTAACGACCACAACTTTTATTTTTCAAACATTTCTCGCACAGACGTCACATCCGCCGTGACCAAATCGCATTCCAATTCTATAGATCCAAATGGCATTCCTGTCAAATTAATCAAATTGTGCCTGCCTGAAATCCTTTCCATTTTCCTTTTCATCAATAATTTCTCCCTTCAGAATTCAATATTACTGACCTTTTAGAAAAATAGCCGTTGTACGTCCTTTACTTAAAAATCCTAAACCCTTTTCCTCCGAAGATTTCCATCCAATCGCAATCACTTCTAACCTTTTGAAACCTCTGGAAAGAATAGTGCAATCCCAAGTTTCCAACTTCCTCAAACAATCCAATCACCGAACTTGACCTTTACCAATCTGGTTTTCAACCAGGTTACTCCACACAGTCCATCCTAATTAAAATCATTAATGATGTTCTGTCCGCCATAGGTGACAAAAAATTAAGGCATCAAGTATTTTTCTACAAGAGTTCATTCATACATTATATACAAAAAAAAACATTATATAAATAATAATAATAAAATATATCATAAATAAATAACAATAATCTTCTTATACACATTCATACCTATATTTACAATATCTACATTCGCCCAGGGAGCTCCGAGCCAATCTTTTTCCTCCACATGTGGGATACAAAGCAAGACTCAAAAGTTCTCAATGCTTCTCTTCCAACTGTGTCACTGGTATTAGAAGACAGTGGAAACTGAAAGAGGGCACTGGAGGCACAGACGCTCAGGACTTGAGTGGAGAAGTCGACCATTGCCAGGACTCCAAAAGAATATATACAAAAGGTCTCGGGGCCATTTTGGTTTTAATCTTCGAGGAAGATTATAGGGATGGTCGTAGCGAGTGAGGTAGAGAATTAGGATGATGAATAAAATTCTGGTGGAAGTTTGTAAATCTGGATGGGATAACGTCAAGGACATATCAGTGCCTGACCAAACGTAGATGGATTAATGTTAAACGCTGCTAAATCTCAGCCATTGTCATTATTTCCAAATCCCTCATCAGATTCAATACCAACATTCCTATCCTTTACCTCAATGACCATCTCACCACCTTCAACTCTTCAGTTAAAAACTTAGACCTTTTCATACACAATAAGTTTAACATACACAAATATATAACATATAATATATATATAATAAAACAATAATAGTTTAAAAGAAATAAAATTCTTAACCTAATTAGTTTAAAATGAAATGAAAATAAGGTGGATGTTATCGACATGTTAAAATAATTTACAGCCAATTCACAGCCAAATATGACCGTAACTTTCTAAAAATGAACATTTATTAGTATTCGCGATTTAACATTTATTAGCATTGACATTTAGATTATATTTACATCAAAACAAAATCATTTAACAACTTCAATAAAATATGAATTAAAATGACTAGCTAACAAGTAAATATTTATTTCAATATTTTTTGTACTTATTTGTTTATATTATAGCCCAGTATCGGATACAATTATCGGAGTATCAAGCCCTAGCGTCAGTATGAATGTTACCATGAAAGACCGAAATCTGGATAATATCGACTTTAACCGGTGAATTTCAACATTCACATAGTCGCTTGGTGTATGTCCAAAATATTTGCTAAATACCCTTATTTTTGACTTTGACCGGTAAATTTACATGAAATAATACGGTTGATTTACATGCAATAATGGTGAATGTTGAACATTATATTATTTATATTTTCTTTTCCGTAATTCAGTCGCTATAAAACGTCACATCGGTGATGTAACTTTTTTGCCTCTCTTTCTGAGAGGAGTGAACAAAAATTTAAAACACACAGTACATTCTAAATCAGAAAAGAAAATAATAGTAATAAAACATTAATTTACGGCGCATATTTGCGATACGATTTAATTACTGAATTCTCTGCCATTATCTGATTGCAATATTGCTGGTGCAAAAAAATGTTAAAAATATTGAAAGAACATGATACGCTACTTCTTCAGCTCTTTTCAAAGATCGTAGTTGGACAAACTTATAATTAGTTAAATGATCTTGATACACCATGATGAAGTCATATTCGCCGTCTCTGTTTGACTGCAGATCTATCAGATCAACTTTACATCTTGAGTTCAACTCAGAATTGACCATTGGTTTCACAACAATGCCTCTCTTAGGTACACTGTTTGCATAAATTTAAATACATTACAACTTCATATGTAATATTTTTGTATTTAACTTGAAACTCTTCAGGCATACGTATTCTTCTTCCGTGGCCTATCCTGGTGTTTTTCATACACTATACTGGTAACATAATACTGTATATTAGTTTCTCCTAGTTTTAATGGTACAATTAACTTCTCTTCATCATTAATTTTTAAAACGTCAAACGTTTTAATCATCTGTAAAACAAAGGTGTGTTGTACTTCGTTTTAGCAGAAACTAACCACTTCAGAAAGTATTTTAGAGTACTTTTCTTGAGAAAAATAAAAACAATTGTCATCTCGTTTATCATTAATGCATTTAACTTTTCAAGAAAAAGATCACGATTTATTGCAGTATATTTATTTATTCAGTATAAATTACGGTATAGGGAAAAAGTATTACTCGCATTATCAAAGCTTGCATAAGACTGACAAAGCTGATTAAATCCCAGCAGAACAAAGGATTTGACGGAAGAGAGCCAGTCTGCTCCTCTTTTTTGGACCTCCACCAGAGCATATCTGAGATTGTCGACATACAACGGTGAGGGTCCGAATGTACAAGAATGTAATGAAATATTAAATCTTTCACCGACTCATTTGGTATGTGTTGACATTCATCGGTGAAAATCGACGTTCTCCAATTTCGGCATTTTACGGTAACATGAATACGGCTCAAGTATCTGATACAAGTATATAACCCTCAGTGTATCAAGTCCAAGTATCACTAAAAGTATCCTACCCGTAAAAAGTATGAAGTAAACAAATGCCTGCAGATTCCTATCTGGGTACTCAAAGGGCAAGCCCTCCTTTTATGTCTTTCATCTCCAAAAAATGAGGAGATAAACACCCATATGAGAGAAGTGGCTAGGGAGAGCCAGGAGATATGTTGGCAGGTGATAGAAGAATGGTAAGAAAGTGGCAGGATGCAGCTATATTCACCAAACCAGAACACATCAAGTACATCCAAATCATTATAACTAACCCATTAACTATAAATGTTAATAATTAGAACCCTCCATTCAGCATCTACTAGATGCAACATTTTAATTTATATTTCATTATTATATATTTCTTTTTTTTTATCTTAATCTGACCATTATTATTAACACCCCTCCTGGTATATTTTAGCATTAGATGTGTTTCCTTCCTGCTATGGGATAAAAGAAGACCTACTGCATTCAAGAATCCATCAGAAAGCCTTTATGCAAAAACAAATGTCTCAATAGCAAGCAAAAAACAGAGTGGAAGGCCAAATATGGTTAGGTAGATGGATAGATCGAATCAGCAAAGATGCTGCAGAGCAGTATGTAGACAGCTGGAAAGCAAGAGCACATGTGAAAAAGATCTATAAGGTCTGTAAATCTATTTATTTTATTTTTTCATCGAGAATATTGAAATATCCATTGAGATCAACTAGTAATTATCACCCATCTCCAACTCAGGCTGTCTCCTACTGAGACAGAATCTCTAGTTTATTTTCATCAGTAATAGTTGATTTGACTTCGTTTGTAGGATGCACCAGTTTGGGGATTAAATAATGACAACAAGTTTAAAATAATAATCAATTATATTTGATATAGAATCTACATGATATTATACATAATACAATACTAAAACTTAAGAAGGTTGCAAATAGTTCAGTGTTGCCATGCCTTCATACATAAAGTAGCCAAATTATAAATTATCAATGTGATTTCTGTTTATTGTACTGCTTTATCCATTTCGAAAAGGTTTTTTTGTAAATCTTACGAGCACTAAGAACTGACTCAGGATCAGCTTTGTTAGCAAACCTCAAGTCCAAGCTATGGGCAGCCTCAGGTATGACAACTGCCACAGCAGATGAAGATAAATTCTTGAGGACTCCTCCACTGGACCAAGGATCTAATAGTCCATTACTGGAACAAAAAAAATTGATACTAAATAAAGAACTTGTGGTTATCCAAGGGAACTTTTTGATAATAGGGCTGCATTGGGAGAAACTAATCTTGTTTCAACCAATGTTTTTCTAGGTTGTTGTAATTTATTTAAAACATTTGAAAATACATTAAAATCATGGATGTCCTGAGGTAATACCCTGACTGGAATTTCAATATCTCGTACTACCAGAAGAGCAGATACACACTGATTTAGCGGAGTGCTTACGGGTCAGTATCTCATGATACAGTACAGATACAGTAAGAGAAGTACATCTCGACCTCTTGTTGCAGAAAGATATGTTCAGGCACCAGATGGTGATGGCAGGCTCGGCAGGTCTACACGAGAAACTCCATGTAAGCATAAATTAAAAACCTCGCAGATGCAAGAAGATTATACACAAATATACCCTTGGAGAGAAAATGGAACTGGCGATGGATAACAACTCCAAAAGAGGCTTCTCTAGGAAAACACTTCCCTCCATTGGTTACCAGTTAGCAGCGAAATGGGCAGAACCTTATTACTGAGTCTCCTAACTACTCATTGAGCATAGGGTATTCTGAACAAAGCTCTTTCAGCTTGGGAAGAATATTGATCATCTATGCCTTAGCTGGACTGATTTATTTTTTATCAAATAGCTGTAACTGAATCTATATATCAAATAATTGAAAACCTTAATTGTATTAATCCAATGATTTATAAAAAACATTCATATAATTAATCATAAAATGCTCAGGGAAATCTATTTGATCCAATTTCTTCCAGTCATAACAATTTTCAAGAGGATGATATATCTATGGTACCAAAGTCAAGATATATAGTTTAGGAAATTTATCATAATAATTTATTACTCGCTCATCATCACCAAAGACTTATTTTTCAACCAGTGTTTTTCAACCTTTGAATATTATTTGTTTACTATGGAATTTTTGTTTTAAAAGAAATTCAATAAAAGTGAGAAAAATCCAAACATTAGATTTTTTTTAGATAACTTACAACAATCTGTAAATTAAAACTGTATACACACTCACACATATATACATAAAATTAAGTCTGAAGATTACATATTTACCTGAATATTATGTTTGTTGCCCAAGTGATATTTTTCCCACCATATTCCATTTCTGCTAATCCAGGATTTGGCCTCACTTTGAATTTCCGAAAACATTTATCTGAAACTTCTGTTATATTCCACACACTTCTTTCAAACATATCAGTTGTTCCATAGTCACAAATAGGTACGATCATCTCTGTGCATGACTGAAAAAAAAAAGTTATTGAAAAACATCTATTCCTTATTTGCAAGGTGTGTGCGTTACTAACAACACACAAAAGATCATTGTTAAAATCATTTAAAAATGACTTTTTAGTGGTTAAACTAAATGTTGTGTTTTTAAAAAATCATACATTATTTACAATTTTTTTTTATCTCCCTCCAACTATACTACAGACACCCGACTTTTAGAAAACCTTCCTCATTTAATATGATTAACTCCATATTAATTAAGTTGAGGTTTATTAAAAAAAAAATTAAGATTCACCTCAAGTTGTGTAAAAAAAGTCTATGATTTGATATCCAATCATCTAAAAGTACCAGCGTTACTCTTTGCTTATAAAATCATTTCATAGCTTTTTACAAATTAGTTAAACATATTTCACTTAATAATGGATAAGTATTTTTAGCTCAAATCGTTAAAAAAAACACTCAGAGGATCTCACTGAATAATTTGAAAAATCAAACAAAGCATTGCATAGCTTATAGCTTGCATAGGACCAGCCAAAACATATAAGCCTCGGGTGGCTTCGCTTGGTTGGGTAATAATAGAAGATGGAATGGAACTAAATATCAGAAGATGGAAAATATACGATAATAATATTGATGAAATATAATGTTAAATTATGTAATGTTATAAATTTATAAGCATGTTTGTTAGATGAACTTAAGCATGAGGTAAAAACCTTAAAACATTGATGTAATACAAAAGTAATGGAAATAAATAATAAAAGCTAGATCAATTGTATAAATGAAAAATATCTCTGGATAGAATAACTTTAGAGGAAAATGATATGTTCAACAAGAAATAATTATTGAGTGTATAATGTAAAAAAATCTTACTTGGAAGTCCCAGGCTAATGTTTCTTGGTCACCTTCGGATATTTTTTCCAAATCCAAACATTTTCCTGATGCAGCCATTTTGGAATAGACTGAAGTTGCATGAAATATATTGTTCAATAACTCTTCACGTTTAACCCAGGGATCTGGCAGGTGCTCGCAGAGAACCTGAAACCATAAATATTCTTCATTGTTTAATAGGAAATAAAATTGATTGTTAATAATTCACAAACACATAAAAATAACTTATCCTCTATATTAATTCACAAATTACGCTTTTGAAGGTCAACAAGTTTTTTGTCACAGTTCTTTCAAAGTATGTTTTAAAGAATTCTAGTTAAGACTCATTCTCCTGAAGAGAAAAATATAGTACCTAATTAAATTTTGAGGGATTTCTAATTGACTAGATGTGAAAAAAAAAGACCAATATCAACATTATATGCAGTATTGGAGGCAACAGGCCTAAATTTGCTATAGACTGAATTGTCATCTGAAAATAGATTAATGTAAATATCAAAATAAATTTTTCTAACTTTTTTGACATACCCCATCATCCTTACAATGTCATAGTATCAGTAAGGTTACTTCTAAGCTTGTCTACTGGTAAGCTTTTCTGTTTATCTCTTCCTATAATAAATTTCTAAATATAATACTCAATATCTGAACCTTGTAATGAAAAATGGCCTAATCAACTTTGAAATTTGAACCAACCTTAAGATTATTTGAGGATAGATATAAATTAATCCTTAAAAGGGACTTTACCTTCCTTGAGAGGACAATGTCTAATCTTGTCCCACAAAAGGACAATTGAATTAGGAATATGCCGATACTGGTGGAGAAGTGACATGTCACAAAGTCTCGGTTGGTAAACGTGATAACCTGTTCCACTACCTTACTTGTCTAGTGGAAGTGACTAAGGCTTCTTGTCCATTCTATTCCTTAATTAATCAAAGTATATGTAATGTATATAATTTTTATTTATCATAATATAGACCAACGATAGACTAAGTGTATATCATGTCTAGGTTTTTTTCTTTTTCGCTCAAATTCTTCTTATTTTATCTCCCATCTCCCTTTATCTTTCCTCTGTCCATTTCTTACTATCTTGCTTGTATTATAAAATAAGGCTCTGTTTATTTTTTCACCATATTTATTTTAATTTTCATAGCTACATTTCAGCCAGTAAGCCATGTTATCCAACCATGCTTTTTGCATATAGTCCAAAGTAGTTTATCATGGTTGGATAAAATGGGTTACCGGCCGAAACATAACTATGAAAATTAAAATAAATATGGTGAAAAAAATAAACAGAGCCTTATTTTATAATATTAGAAAATTTTCACCTAAAACAAGCACAAATGGACTATCTTGCTTCTTTTTCTCCTCTGTAAGAACTTATTCCCCTCCCGATTATCACCTATTTCCTAAGATGGACACTGAGCTGAGCAACACTCTCATTTTTATAAAGATACGTGAAAACGTAGATTCTTTGATAGTATTAAAAGACGAGTCGTTTTTCAACATGGGATTTATATGTTGAGAGACAGATTGGAGAAAGTAGTGGCTAGTGATGGGCAATATTTTGAGTGACATATATTTCACCACATTTCATTTAAATAAAGCATAAATTTTCACAAAAATACAGTGAGAATTTATTCAAGGCCCTAATATATTTGTATACATATACATATATCTAATATAATATTGGGTTGGCAAATAAGTCCTTTCGGGTTTTCTGTTTATTTTTATGTCACTATGATACACTTCTTATCTGATGAATTAATCCCTAATGTAGATTGTGGAACAGTTATATCTGTTAACTCTTGTTGAAACTAGCTTAGTATTTTGTTTGCTATTGCGCTATGAATATGGAATAAAATATCATTCATTATCGGCATATTCTGTTGTATTATTTTTAAAAAGTTTAGAGTGCTGCAGAAATTCATAGAAAAATTTGCAGTGTTTATGGGGATGAAGCCTTAACCGAACGCACCTGTCCAAATTAGTTTGCCGAAATTCATTTAGAAAATTTTGACATCAATGATGCTCAACGGTCTGGTCTCCCACATGAAAAATTGTAACGAGCAATGTTAAGGCCATCACTGATCGAAATCCCACCCAATCAGTGCGACAGATTGCTATGGCCCTAAATGTGTGGCACACAACCATAGAAAACCATTTGCACAAGCTACTTTTTCAGGTTTGATGTTTGGATCCCTGACATGATTTTTTTTTTTTCAAAAATCACAAAAAATGTTATAACTTCATTTAGCTATCTACAAGAAATTTATCAGGAATTTAGGACCACATAAACTGACATCAACAGGACCTTTGTAAACAAACTAAAAATAGAAATAATAAATAAAAAGGTATATCCTTATGTAGGCATTAAATAAAAAAATAATTCATACGGATTTGAAGAGCAATAATTCAGCTTTTTAACGGATATAGTACATTGAATTTTAAGAATATCCTGGAGAATTATGATTGATCGGAAGGTGTTGTGTTCCAGCAAGACAACGCTACGTCCCACACCTTATTGGTCACTCGCAGTTAGTGGAAAGATGGGGAAAAGTCTTATTAAATAATGTTTAATATATTGTAGATTATAATAAATTTTATGTCTATAATACATTGAATTTTATTTTACCCTGTAAAACCAAAAGGACTTATTTGCCAACCCAATATATTAGATAATTATACATTCTCTTTATTCATTAATATCTTCTTTCCTACAAGCTCTGCCTTACATCCAAAAAATTTTTAGCAATATTGATTGTTACAACTCATCATAGATAGATATCTTCAGATTAGGAGAGACTGGACCTTAATAGACCGATGAAAGTTATATTATTGCTCTTACAGCTACAATTCTCAGATTTATAGATTTCATATCAATTAATTTCTTGTTGACTGCTCACAGTCCCTTCATAATACCATTTTACCTTTCACACTCCTGTTTTGTTCATTTCCGTCAATAAGGTCTTTTTTTTCTAATAATGTACTGTACCAATGAACATTTAATCTGAAAATTCTATAAAAATTAATATTTCATTATTATAATAATTTACCTTTATTGGGTTAGCTGGTAATTCGGCAGGAAAATTAGTTGGGTAAGGATAGTTGTTCATGGCTATTTTTACATAAACTTCATTGAGCCAGTCCTTCAGTTTCTTTACATCCTTAAGAGGGCTGCACAGTTTAAATGTATCAGTCAACCATTTCAGGCCATCATCTAAAAATTTAATTTTAATATTAATATTTAAGTTATTATTAATGGTAAAAATATCAATGAACATTGATGTAATCTAGGAGAAGTGATTTGGAGTGCAGTCAATAGAGAAAAATATGTAATAGCTCAGTTATTCATATTACTAGTTTTCTTAAATATTAACATTTAGGTTGTTAATACTGTTTAATTCCTTACAAGTATGTTGTATATGTATCAGTATTTGATCATTAGATTACTATAGTTTGTCAATTATTTTTTCAAATACTATTATTGGTCCTTATTAAATCTTATGAATTTTCAAGGGCATATATAATTAATAAAATTTATAGTTTCGAGGAAAATCGCTTTATTTCATCCTTCATTACACCATTTCATTTTAATTTTCTCGACAATGTTTCAGACAATTTTTCTATTTTCAAGTCAAAATATTTATATCATTATTATATAATCCATATAATTATATTTTTAATATAATTATTGTAAAATTTGTCTCCTCACATTCATCTAATTATAAAATTAATAACTTATTTATGAAAAAAAGGCAATTCTGTGGATAGTCAAAAAATTAAACATTATTATAAATTTACATCAAATATTACACATTTTTGTCCTTTTAATTTTAATTTCATCATTTTAATTTTGACAATGGACATAAGACTGTTGTATCAAAAGGACGAACATGTGTAACATTTGACTTAAATTTATAATAATGTTTAACTTTTTTGACTGTATAAATAAGTTATGAATTTTATAATTAGAAGAATGTGAGGAGATAAATAATACAACAATTATATAAAAAATATAATTATATGGATTATATAATAATGATATAAATATTTCGACTTGAAAATAGGCCAAATTGCTTGAAACGTCTTCGAGAAAATTAAAATGAAATGAAGCATGGAATAGAGTTGTTAGGGTGAAATAAAGGGATTTTCCTAGAAATTATTAATTTTACTATTGTTCCATCTTTAAGCTTTATTATTTTTTTTGTTATAAACTTATATTTTTGTCAATATATTCTATTCCCGAAATAATTTCATCTTGTTTATTTCTATATTTAGCCTTAATTAAGACCGGTTGAAACCCCCAGATCAATAAAATGGTTTAGAATATTTATTATTTTTGATGATTCCAACCACAAACATCTCTTTCATTATAAAATATAAAATAGTAAAACATATAAGTCAAATTAAAAAAAAAAAAATGATAGACAGCAATATTCTACTTGTATTGTCAATATTTGAACAGTTTGAAAGAAACCAATTATGAAAAAAGAGTCGCCTTCTTGGACAATTTTTTTAAAAAGCTAGCTATTCTCTTGTTTGTTCAACTTCTAAGTGTAATTCTCTGTAAATGAAAGGTGAAGAGGAATTATAATTACATAAACTAAATTTAAAGAATCACAATCATATGAAAAAAAAAAATATTAACAAAATACAGCCTATTAACTTGTCAGATTTTAAATAAAATGTTTAAAAATATGAGTAGAAGATTTACGATTTGTAAAAAATTATATGTTACCTGATGTTCCAAGCTGATTCAACTGCCCCCAAGATACCTTAATAGAATTAGCACATTTCATTGATTCAACAATGTAGGGATGAGAAGCTGCCCCGTATAAGGTTCCACAGGGTAGCATACCTTCGAACTGCCAGATAGGGGCTGAGGATGCAAGCGCACTGCAGGCAAAATTATAAAAATGAAGTAGATATTACTTAGTGGATATATAAATGCATTATGTTAACAATCAAAAAATTTATTTTTACATTAACAATAAAAACTTTTACAATTCCAACATTTAAAGTTTGCTGAATGATATCAGAACCTGTCTTTTTATTAAATTAAATTAATATATATATATATATATATATATATATATATATATATATATATATATATATATATATATACAGGATGTTTCAGGGTTAGGCAGCCAAACTGCAAAAATGAACTAATGACCTCAAAACAAAAAAAAATTTCCTCTGAAGGTATGTTCGCAAACGCTTTCTTTAGGAGGTATTCACACCTAAAGATTTTCATTATTATGAATTATTTACGTTATATGAAATAAATAAAACCTATTTATTTGTTCTAACTACTTTATTAATTAAATTTAAACATTAACATTCATGTTAAATGGTGTTCAAAGTGGAGGTATGTCCTCAAACGCTTTATGAAGGAAATGGATTAGATAGAATATTACTAATATGGCCTTTTATCCCTAACGGTATAAAAACTATTGGCAACATAAGGATTAATACTATTTGGAATTAGCATTGGGAACTCTCAATAACATTTATCAGTTTGTAAGAGGCTTTTGCAGAGTACTCATAACAATAACACATATCTAGTGCTGTTCTGCCACTGCTGTTGTTGAAGAAAGATGGTGAGCCTGTCTTTAATGCTCACCATCACTTTAAACAACATTTAATATGAATTTAATGTTTATGTTTAATTAATAAAGTAGTTACAACAAATAACAATGAAAATTTTAGGGTGTGAATATCTCCTAAACAAAGCATTTGTGGGCATACCTTCATAGGACTTTGTTTTCATGTTTTCAGATCCTAAATTCATATTTTCAGTTTGGGCACTTAACCCTGAAACACCCCCCTTATATATATAGACCAAAAAATTTAATATATATACTTTTAAATTTTAAACTGATATTCTAAACTAACTCAACATATTTACCCTTGGATGACAGAAGGATACTTCATCCTCATCCATGCCGACAATATCCCGCCATAGAAGCCTCCGAAAGCTATCACTGGATTTTGGTAGGATGGAACCTTGTAAGAATCTTTCAGGTAATTGATTAGGGAGACGTAGTCAGCGAGTACTTGCTGGGAAGAAAGGTAGCCTGAGAACTTCGGATCCTAAGTTAAAAATTATAATAGTAATATTATTACAAAATTTTAATGAATTTTATATTACTCATAATAATAATATGTGAAAAGATAAATCTACTCACGGAAAAGGATAAGTCGCCGAATGGCATTGACTCACCATAGTACCTATGTTCAGCGAATACAATTAGAGCGTGGAATTGTGGGGCTGTCTCCCAAATGAAGCCCTAAAAAAATTATATATATGCATATAATTATAGTAGATATTTTTGTATAATAATATATGTGTACATTTATATGTTTGTGTTAATTAACTCTTTCCACATGCTTTCACATATTTGCGGAAGAAGAAAGAGATAAACATTTTATCCTAGGTCATTTACAAATAAAAAATATTTTTGATAGTGTTGTTTGTTCTCGCAAATGACATATAAACTCAATCAGGTTATAACATATATATTTTGCCAAAAACGACAAATTTTGTTCTATATTAAAATGGGTGGCTTCAAAAGTTGGACAATATCATTTTCAGAAATTGGAGGGAAAAAAAATCAATTTTTGTCTCATAGGTTCAACTCAAACTGTTTCTGATTATTTTCTTTAAACATTTTTATGATTTGTGATTTTCTTTAAGAACCATCCAACTAGACTACATATCTGTAGTGTCTTTAGTCTGTAGAAATACCTCTTCGTTCAATTGACTTTCAGTTTGTATTAATAAATTAAAGGTTTATTTGGATTTAAATTTTAGATTCACCGTAGGGTGTTTAAAAAAATGATGTGATTTTGTATCCTTTCAATTAAAAGTACCCCCTTTCAAGTAAAAGTAGTAAAAATTACAACATTTAATTTATTTCAACAATAAAGCTTTTATTTCTTGTTTTTCAATAATGTGGGATTAATATAATAAACATATAAAAAGTGAATTTAGGATATTATTTTTATTATAATACATCCTAGATCACAGAGAGACAAGAAATAAAAGCTTTGCAATTAATTGTAGTCATTTTTGCTGAAAACAGGGGTACTTTTACTTGACAGAATACAAATCACATAATTTTTTCTCAGAACCTGAGGTGAATCTCAAATATCCCCTAATAAAACTCTAATTAATACGGACTGAAATCCAATTGAACGAAGAAGTTTTTCTAAAAGTGGGGTATTTGTAGTATTGCCAGACAGTTATAAAAAAAATTCTCAAATAATTTATGATTTTTATTTTAAACAGAACGTAGCCTAGTTTAGCCGCGTAAAAGTTCTCTTTAAATAATTGGTAAATGGTTGACTGTCGTGGATAATGAAGAGAAGAATAGTTGGGGTGGAAGAATAGTTATCAACCCAGGGTTTCTCCCTTCAACACTTTTGGAGAAAGCCCTGATGAAGACCTGAACTTCAAGTCGAAACGTCGGCATATGTAAAAATAAATATTATCATTTATTTTGCCTTCTTTTTTGACTGACCACCCCAACTATTCTTCTCTTCTCTTTAAATAGTTAGATGACAGATAAATATTCTATTTTATTTTGAAGAAAATTTTGTCTAGTTTACAGTGAAGCAATTGTTTATTATTAAATTAAATATTGCATTATTTATTGTTTCCTATTCAACAAAAAATGTGACTCGCTTAAAAAAGCACAAATCTTGGATTTCCTACTTTTCTGCTGAAAATTGGCCTATTGTTTACATGTACTTTTTTGTATGAGGTCTGCTATCACTCCTATAAAAATTTTCCTGTTCTTATGGGACATTCTGTATATTTATATTGTGTTGACTTTACAGGCATTGAAGGTATTTAGCAGCCTTAATCACTTTTCTTCTCCTTCCTCTCCTTGGTTAATCTAGTGCTTTCTAGTTTGTTTTTGTTTTTTTTTTGCAACTCCATAGTACCTCTGTTGATTCTATCTAAGCATTTCATTTTCATTTTCTAAGTGGCCTCTCTCAACTATTCAAGCTTTATGTTTCGACCATTTGAATTTCAATGCCTTCATCATATATGATGCATGATTATACATATACATCATATCATCAGATATAAGATATATATTCAGCAGTTTCATTAAGCAATCTTTGTTGATTCTTTCCCTACATGCCTTGGTATCCTAGTAGCCACATGGAGGATTAAGTTTTGGGTTGTTCGCTAAAATATATTTAATGATTTTTGAGCGCATGGCGCATGGCATCAGTTATTATGTTCGATGGCACAATTAACTTGGTGAAATCCGGTTAGTGTTTTCAAACCGTTTGTAATTAAAATAAAAACAAATCATTGTATAAAACGTCTTTTAATCAAGATACTAAAACGATTTTTTGAGTTTGACCAATTTTAACTTCAATGGCTCAAATTATTCAGTGTGACCTCATGATTGATTTGAAACAATTTAGGCTCAAAATACGAACAAATTATTATGGTAATATACATTCCAAATTTGAAATTTCTAGACAGAAGAAAGCTTTATTTGCTAATTCATTTTAAGTGATAAAGAAAAATATTACGTTGCTGTAAATTAATATTTTCGAAAAAATTAAGGGCAAATTTAAAGTATAAGCAGAGTAGAATATACCATATTATATGTAATAAAAACAATAGAATATGTAGTCAATTACATAAAATATACAGTAGAGATTTCAAATAGGCAATAAAACAGCTAAAATATTCAAATATTCTCATTAGTGGATCCAGGATTTAATTTTGGGGAAGGGGGAGGGGGAGCTTCAGCCCGAAACCTTTTTTTTTCATATATATATATATATATATATATATATATATATATATATAGATAATTACTTTGAAAAAAAAAAAAGATATTAAGTACCTATATGAAGTGATTCTTCATGTCTTATTAAATGTAATTAAAAAACAATAATACTTTAAGAGATAATTTTTTCATATTTTTTACCATAAACATAGTTAAATTATACCATTTTGGGGAGTAGGCTTCAGCCCGAAAGCCCCTCTCCCCCGTAGATCCGCCTGTGTATATACTTATATGACTGGTTTGATTATTTTTTATCGCTTCCTCCAACCCATCTAGTTACGTCACTGGAGATCTCTAGATGTACTTTTTGATTAACTATGTCTTCTGTTGGATAATTCCAATTAATAATGCCAACGAGAATTTTCTAACCTTACTGAGCTGTTTTGTCTCACTTTCAATAGATAATTTGAAAGATCAAATGGAAATGTCGTAATCTACATTGTTCATATCGTTTACTCTAACATAATTTAAGAAAAAATAAACTCATATATATTTTTTTTTAATAACTTCTTTTGTGGTTGTTATTTCGAGTAAAGTCATTTCCCTTATATATAAAAAAAAAAAAACAACTAAGGTGTGTGCTTTAGAACACCCGATAGTGTTTTCACAAACATCAACAAGGCGAGATAATTGATATGAAATATAAATTATAAATCATAGCTTATTATGAAATACAGAAATGCATAAATGATAAAATGCTGGACATTTCCCTCGCTTACATTATGCAGGTCCGATTTTTAGTTTCTAAGATATTTTAATCCAAATCTTCCATGAAACTCGTTACCATTTGGTTTTCGACACAATTTTATCTTCTCGCCTCTCTAAAATGGCACACAGTGGGACGAAAGGCGGGTTTTCGTGGACATGGTCATAGAACTCGTAAATTATGTGGGATTAACTTGATATTAAGTACATGTATGTTTTCAAGGCCAAGGGACACGAATACGACGTCAAAATTAGAAAGTTCCACGAAAAGCAAAAAAAAAAAATCCGTTTTTTTTTAACCTTTGAATTTTTAAATTTTACAATAAATTAACTTCGAAAATAATAAAGACCTCATTAAACAATTTTAGAAACCTATTTATAACTACTGTCTATAGTACTACATATGACCGTTATTTTTTTTTTATTTATTTTAAAAACAATAAATCTCAAAATATAATTATAATATATGTATATGTAAATTTATTTAAAAAGTGTATCCTTTATTAAATAAATATTCATTATTTAATAGCTCTTATTAAATAATAAATATTTTATTTTATTTTTATTACATACAAATTTAAAAACCATCGATAATGATATTTTGAACTCCTTCGATTTTTCACATTTTCCGATGAAAAAGATATGTTTTTTTAAAATTTATTTTTAAAATTATATTAACAACAGCTGATGCAGATCAAGTCATAAAGATTCAACCAAATACTCTCAGATTCAATTTACCGTTATGAAATAATAACAACATTTCAAAATAATAAAGGTTAGAGATTTTAGTGGAACAAGTAAGTAAAAGTTTTGTTTTTTTGTTGAGGTCGTCTTATTCGGGTACTCATTGACCCTAACTTTTTATTAAATTTTAAACTTTAGTTCATTTAATAGTGTTGTATTTTTTTATTTATTTAGATTAAAGCGAAAATAAAGGATGGTTATAAACAATTAAAAGAATAATATAAAAGTTCATTTCTTATCTACGTAGACAAAATTAAAATATTAAAACAAGATAATAAAGCTTTAATTTTTAATGTAATTTTTTTTTTTTATCGTTTTCGTATGAGGTATTTTTGAACCAAATAACTACAGAACCTTATTTTCTTTATGTTCAATACAATTCTTAAAACTAAATTTGAGAGTATGTATGTTTATAGGAGATATTAGTACATACCTAGAAATTGTTCGAACATTTATTCATACAAAAATAATTTTAAATATATTTTAACTACCTTCAGGTGGACTATGGCGGTTTAAATTAATACGAATTTATATTTAACAATGACTGCTAAAAAGATGTAACAAATTAAATTTCCGGAGAATATCGCAGGTTTTATTAAATTGCAGTATATGTAAAAAAATTATTATAAATACCTATTTTTGTTAACAAAAAAGAAAAAGATTCCAAATAAAACAAATTTTAGAAATGATTATATATTTTTTTAATTAAGAAGAATGACACCTCGCTTGTAGTATGCAGATCCGATTTTTTGTTTTTAAGATATTTTAATCCATATCTTCAATAAAACTCGTTATCATTTGGTTTTTGACAATTTTTCCCTGTAACACAGCGTCGCGTTAAGATACAATTTTGAATAATAGCTCATTACAAAGAGGATGAAATGAATATTTCTCTTGCCAACAGTATACATGTCCGATTTTTAGTTTGTGTGATATTTTAATCCATATGCAAAAACAATTGAATTAGTTGACTCCAGCCGACTTGATACGAGCGTTGCACATCGGAGATCTGATGGCTCAATCTAATTCGCTCTCTACAGAACTTTTCACTTTAAAAATCTCCCAACCTTGTAATCGAAGCTCTATGCGGTCCCTCGTGAAGACTTTTCCTTCTCCACTGTTGTTCGAAAGAGATGACTAACTATTGATAGTCGGCAAAACAACATAAATTAAAGTTTATGAACTGCTTACCGTATTTTGGGCGAACAAGCTGATGTCTCCTTTGCCTCCAGTGTAGATAAATATCGGAGCTCCTTCACTTGGTCGCCAATATTTGTCATTTATCAGATAGCGGAGCTTGAAAGTATGTGTTGTCTCAAAGTTGAAATGGTCAAGCTGTAAAAAAATAATTTTCATTAAGACATATATTTTTCCAAATGGCAAATAATGACATTGCGAATTAAATAAATGATATTCAGTTTTACTTACAGGTACATCGAAGTATTTGGTCTGATATAATATCTCATTGGTGTCTGCACTTACGAGCTTTAATAGACATAAAACTAAAAAGATATACATCTTGTGTCGACTCGAATACGACTAGTCTGTAAGAGCGACTATTGTCAGTGCCAACTTCAGCCTATTATATAGGCGCTTGTTTCCAAATGTTTTCTTCTTTGAGATATTCATATCTGTCCATTCATAAGTTGATGACTCAAGTTCCACTTATATTTGAGGGCTTTTTTACTCCAAATCATCATCTATACTTAAAATTAATATTGAATCAATACTTCAGAAATATAATTAAGAGTTCTTCAGTATCTTTTTCTTCAACCTTTGTTCCAAAATACTCATAACCAGAGGGTGCCCAGAAGGGGGTGGCGCAATTTTTACTATCAAAATTTTTCAGGGGAGAAGGTTAGTAAAAATGATGACACCGCCATCTTATCATCCAACTCAGATCCTGAATTAACATCGTTCAGTCTACAAAGGTATCTCTCTCTAACTGAACTTTGCTGTAATATTTGGCGTATTAAAGTAAATGAAAAGACTGATGCGATTTTTATGTTTGGTATATTGGATTATTCGGTGAGATCCCGTGAGTGTTTTGAAAGAATTTTAACCAAAAATTCCAACAAATTACTATGTAATTTTTTTTCTATTTTCGAGCGGATGGCTTGATCGATTTTTAACTTTGACAGATGTAATTACTAACATGATTCAGATCCCGTGGATTTTTGGAACAATGTCAGCACAAAATACTGAAAAATATGTTTATTATAGTTTATGTATCTCGATTATTAATTAATTTAAAAAGATATCATGAGATCATATGTTATGAAAATGAGTTTTTATTACTTTGAAAACTAGAAATGTAAAAATAAAAAAATATTTTAATTTAAAAAAAAACCGACTACAGATATTGGGAAATTTTATCCACACTTAGAGAATGTACTTCCATATCTACTGAAACATCTTGGTTGTTTGGTATGAGAATAGTCATTTACGAATATTTAAACTTGGTGTAATAGTCAGGTTTCTATCGCACTATAAGACTCTTTCGGATGTTGGGATACATGCAACGAAATATATTTCCTTAGAGCCGTAATGGGTAGTGAAAGGAACTCGATCAGTAAACCTTGATGAAATATTCATAAATGTCAATTTCCCTATTAATCTACAAAAACTGTTTCAGTAGATATGGAAGTGCATTCTCTCAGAGTGGACAAAATTCTCAAATTCTGTAGTTGGATTTTTTAAAAATTAAAATATTTTGTTAACATATGACCTCATCATGTTCTTTCAAATTAATTAATAATTTGATAGGAATATTAAGGAAAGGAAAGGAAATATACCTTTTTTTTTTTTAATCTGCTTCCCTCATACAGTAACCCCAGTACAAGAGCCGTTTATTTGTTAAATTTTACATGTTCCATGCATTAAGCACATAACACATGTCTGGTGAAAAATTACATATCTCTTTTAAATTTGTAAATTTAAAGTTCATATTTTATTAATTGAACACAAAAACAAAAATAAATATACCTAAAACAAAATAAAGAGACCAAAATAAATAAAAATTAAATAAATAAATAAAAAGGATAACTGTGATAAAACGCTTACAATGGCTTATTATTTCCAAACAATTATAAATCTAAAGTAACATTACCTCCCGAGTTAAAAAGAAAAAAAAACAAAAGGTGATTCCAATTATTGGACTAAACTGTTTTTCTTTAATCATTAGTAATATGTTTTAAAAAAATAGCATTAGTTCAGTAACACATTCAAATTTTAAAAACCAAACCAAGGATATAACATTTGGAGTAGCACATATTAAAAAAAACCGGAGACCATATCTTTGCTCCTAACTCTCCGATTTTAACGATTTATTTTTTTTTTGTTTTTTAGGAAATTTCGTAAACTTTTAAAAATATATAACGGCGGACGGACAAACAATTTTTTATTCGTTTTTCGAATTCTACGCGTCCTGAAACGTGAAACCTCAAATTTTGAGAGGGGGTTAAGTTTTTGAATTTTTTGGTAGATCACAATGGTTGATTATTGAAAATAATAAACCAAAAATATGTAAAAACCGCGGTATCTCTACTAATATTGCTTTGATTTCGATGAAATTTCCTTCATTTTTTAGGAAATTTAAATACCTTTGAAACATTTCATTACAATATCAACAAAAAAGTAAAAACTTTTCGAGTTATTCGGAATTTAATTTTACCATCCTTTTTTTTTAAACTTTTTTTCCAGCTTCTTTTCGATGAAGTATGTTATATAGATAAATTTAAAGGGCGTCGAGAAAACGACTTTAGCGAAGTTTCATTGAAATCTGTACATTCGTTTAGGAGCTACAGTCTATAGCAACGCAGGTTTTTCAGCCGCCAATTTGAAAGTTAAAGGCGGAGAGTAATGTCGATGAAGGAGGATCATCCTCGGGTGACCTCTAATTTTATATCAAAATTTGAAAAAAATCCGTCCAGTAGTTTCGGAGAAAATGCGCGGACGGCGGACGGCGTACGGCGTACATCGTACGGCGGACGGCGGACGGACAACAAATTTTTTATTCGTTTTTCGAATTTTACGCGTCCTGAAACGTGTAACCTCAAATTTTGAGAGGGGATTAAGTTTTTGAATTTTTTGGTCGATCACAATGGTTGATTATTGAAATTATTTGTCAGACTTCTTGAAAAAGGTAAAGATCAACTTCAGTACTAAATTTCCTTATTATATTTTTTGAACATATTCTCTTCCTTCATCGATCAATTATTTCCTTGCAGAACTATACCTACTATGAGGTGGTATCGTTTACAGTAAAAAAATAGGGCAACCATACAGAATGTGATGAAATGTCTGACGAATCCGTGCGCCGCAGTGACATGTATCAGTATTTGTCAGATAAAAACGTTTTAAGTAAGATTTGCATTGTCTATGTTCAGTTAAAAACTGTTTCAGTTTGTATTACGTACTTTTGATTTTATCATAGTTGGTAAGTGTTACTTTTGAAACAAATTTATAAAGTGGTCGTCCTTTGGTTGCATATTGCCAATG